TCTTTTTTTTTCTTTTTTTTTTCTTTTTTTTTTAAATAAAGCGATATCGTATAAGATAAAATAAAAAAAAAAGAAGAAAAAGAAAAAGAAAAAAAAGAAAAGAACACATTAGAAGAAAACGATTATCGACGATGTCTGTTTATTTCTTTCTTTTTTTTTTCCTTTTTGCTTTTTTCTTCACTCTTACATGCAACAGATCCGATTTACGCACGTCCGAAACAGAGTAGCAAGTAGGTAAGTACGGGTATAGATATAGTTAGACATAATGTGCATCTAGGTCGTTCGTGTCTTTTCTCTCGCATATGTTTGAGAGTCAAACGGTAGGAGCAATGCGTGCATCAAAATTAGCTTCGAATGCTGTCTTACGTTCTATTACCGGGTAAGCTTGATTCGTCGTTCTCTCTCTCTCTCTCTCTCTCTCTCTCTCTCTCTTTTCTCTCTCTCTCTCTCTCTTTCTCTCTTTTTCTCTCTCTCTTTCTCCCTGTTTTTACAGAGGGAGTAGGTTTACACAGAAAAGAAGAGAAAAGAAAATGAAAACAAAACAAAAAAGAGAAGAAAGAAAACAAAAAAAAATGATCGAAGAAGAAACCGGGTAAAGAGTTGGATGTTTGGAGCAAGAAAGAAAAAAAAAAAAAAAAGAAAAAACTGAAGAAAAGAAAAAAAAAGAAACAAAAAAAAAGAAAAGAAAAAAGCAACAAGAAAAAAGGAGAAAAACAAATAATAAAAAAAGAAAGAAAGAAATTTCGATTGGGTACAAGTTCCTTGATCTTCTCGATAAGATTATTAATAAAGAAATAAAGAAATAGAAGTAGGAGCCGCTCTCTTTATCGGCCTTGATTCCGCGTGCGGATCTCGTTGCGATCGCATGTGATATAAAGATTACGTAAGGCGGGAGTTTGACTCTCCTTAGCACGACCTCTGTGGACGTATTCGCATCGTTACGCTAGTAGGGATGAAAAGAGAGAATTCGAGGGGAAGAGAAAAAGAGAGAGAGAGAAAGAGAAAGAGAAAGAAGGAGAGAGAAAGAGAAAAATAGATAAATAGAGATAGAGATAGAGATAGATATATAGAGAGAGAGAGAGAGAGAGGGAGAGAGAATGAGAGAGAGAGAGAGAGAGAGAGAGAGAGAGAGAGAGAGAGAGAGAGAGAGAGAGAGAGAGAGAGAGAAAGAGTAGGATGGAAAAGGAGATGGAAATGGAGATGAGGATGAAGAGAGGAAGGGAGGGGAAGGGAGGGAGAGGGTTTCGTGCGGGCACTGGCACCGAGCAGTCTGTTCCGTTCACCTCCGGTATTCCCTCGAGCAATGCCAGGGAAGCCAGGACCGTCCATGCCAGTTTTAGAACCCTTCACTTTTCCTTTCTTTATAATCTTAGATCATCGATGAATCATGCGAATTAATCGGCCGATGATATCCTTTTGCGAAATCTCGTTCATCGTTCTAATACCAGGAAAATAAATGATTCTTGTGAGAAAATAGTTCTGACGAACGTTTTTTCTTTTTTCGTTCGTTTAAATCATTGCGAATTTTTACAACAGCAACAACAATAATACAACAACAATAACTATAAATAATATCTGGATCCTATTAACTAAATTTTATTATCTTACTCCTACAGCTGTTCTATGTTCTCAAAATAAATTCGTAATAGTAAGGTGTCGACCCGACAGGGTGCAGAAAGATCAATCGTGTTCTATTCGTACAAGGGGCGAGAGTATAGGTCGGAAAGAGACAAGATACACCTCGATTCTAAATTTGGTCTCCTCTACTCCTTCGAAGTTGGAACGAACGAAGAAACGAAGAAACCAGGTACTTAGGTATCACATTGAAACCAAAAAGATTTTTCCCATCACGGAAAATTCGAAGAAAAATTCGTAAATGTAAAGTAGTTGAGATATTTTAAAACAATACGTGTGTATATATATATGTACACATACACGTATTGTTTTTATATATAAATTTACACATAAATAATATATATAAATTACATAAGTTATATATATATATAATAAATATAATATATATAAAATATATATATTTTATCATGCTTATATGTAATAAAAAAAAATATATATATATATATATATATATATATATATATATATTTGTGCTTTTTAGTATGCTTTAAAAAGAACGGAAAGTCTCTTCTTCCCTCTTCCACCCTCTCTCTCTCTTTCTCTGTTCTTTATAGAAAGAACAAAGAGATTTAACCCGTGGGAACCCGAGGATGAGTGCTTCTTCTTTCGAGTGGAAAAAAACATGGTCTACTTTACGGACGAATTTCGATCGTCATGGCTCATAAAGTCAAAGCCCCGAAGGGACACCAGAAGCTACACTACCGGAAGTAGTTTTACGACTTTCGCTGGAGTCGTAAATTCAAAAACAGACTTCATTATGAATCGATGAAAATCGAGTTAGAACGGTACATACACATACACATATACATACACTCACATACTTACGTACATACATGCCATTCTATACACATCACGCGTAACTTCTTATGCAATCCGTTCGTCAAAACATTTTTGTTCTTTTTTTCTTCTTTCTTTCTTTCTTTCTTTATACTCTTTAGCTATCTCTTTCATTATCGATGGTAGAAACGATACTTTGCCAAGAAGGAACGAATCGAAAAACGCATGGAATTCGTTTTAATTCGATCAACGTCGATTGGCCGCGTCGTTGCTTGGCTCTAAACGTGAATGAAACTATAGAGTGTAACGAGAAAGAAAGAAAGAAAGAAAGAAAGAAAGAAAGTGTGAGAGAGAGAGAGAGAGAGAGAGAGAGAAATAAAAGGAAGCAACTTAACGATGCAAGCTTTCGAATAGATAGAATCACTAGGGGGAGTGTCTTCCAGGAAGTACTCCGATCCGTTTAAATACCTCTACTCAAATAAATGGAGACGAAGTCGTGATTCGTTTCGTGAAGCGTTTCTTGTTCTTAGATTACCTATCTTTTTCCCTTTTTTTTCGCGACGCACATGCATACACAAACGCATAGATGGCACATATAGAAGCACAAACACGTGCACATTATGTAAACTATAGAATCTTTCGATCTATAAATAATCCTTGTGCACGAAGGTGTTTAAGAACAAAGAACACGTAAGTAAATGCACGGGTCGGGGGGAGGAGAGGGAAACGATTGTTAAGCTTGCAAGGGGGGAAGAGAAACACATTTTGTCCTTTTTGTCGTTTTCGTCGGTTGTTGTTTACGACACATAGTTAGATTTGCAAAATACTCTTTCTTACCAATGATTTATCAAAGACTCCTATTGACGAACGATGGGCTTTGGCAAGAACATTTAGATTATTATTCAAAGTCGATGGCGGGCGACTGCGTGAGCGAGACCACGTAAGCCAATCATTTGCGAGCAAAAAACGGATAGTTCTTATCCGGTGATAGAAATTATCATGACTCAACGTTAGTGCTTGACTCAATTGTCTCATTGCATGCTTCATTTCTCGACCTTAGGAAAGAAAAAAAAAAAAGAAAAGAACAAAAAAATTGCAAATTTACAAACAACGAAATACGATTATACTGTTCGAACACGAGGGTCACTTTAAAGTTTGATATTTACGACATTGTGATCGACGAAAAGAAAAAAAAAAAAAAAAAAGAAAAAAAAAAGAAAAGAAAAAAATATGATAAAAGCGACGATTTGTTGTTACGTACTCAATAATGCTCGACAAGAAATTAAATTAATGCAACGAGTAGCTGTTAATAACGAGAAAAAGGAAGAGAAGGAGCAAGGAGATATAGATAAGATGTAGAGATAGAGATGTAAAATCATAGGATCGAGAATCGTGGATAGCTTGATTTCAAGGACAATGTCCCGCATTATTCTCGATGGTTCTTTGCCAAGGACAGGAACATGACTCTACTTATAAGCGAATAACGTTTAATGTATTTACGATATTGTCCGATCCTATCTGCACTCGATTTCAACGCCACGTAATCAAATAATCACGATATTACCTTCTCGATGATCTTTCAAATTGCTTCTGAAAAAAAAAAAAAATGTGATAACGAGTTGCACAAAAACGTTATGTCATGTTTGAAGAAAAACTTTTTCCGAATTTCTACCTACATGTAAAAAATATTAGAAATTTATTAGATTGTGTATATATATTATATTTATTATATATTATTATATAATTACTATTCGAAGGGTCACTTTAAATTTTTATACTTACGATATTGTTATCGACGAGAAAAAAAAAAAAGAGAAAAATAACGTGATAAAAGTGTGCAATGCTCAACAAGAGCATATTATATATTTTATTTATATATGCATTATATATTATTATATATTTATTTATTTTCTTTTTTTTTTAAATTAAAATATGATTTCTTAATATATATATATATATATATATATATATATGTTTCTTTTTCGTTTTTTAAATTGCTCAAAAGTTGGATAATTTAAAAAACGTTTCGGTTAGATGAAAAGAGAAGATAGAAACATGTGCAACCGCGTAGAAAAGAGAAAGGAGTTTTACGAGAAAGCGAACATGTGTTGGATGTTTTTTATTTCGTAAAAAGAAAAGACAAAAAAAAAATAAAAAATAAAAAAAAACGTCGAATATAGATAGCATCGTAGTAAAGAGAAAAAAACGTGGGAGTCCGACGAGCCAGGGAGTCTTGTGAATCATATAAACAAAGAGGGAAGAAGATTTGTGGCAGTGCCATGCTCGAAGATACCATTAGATTCCGTTCGTAGACTTCGAAATTAGAAGCGAAAAGAACGAGGCCAACGTACGTGCCTTCGAAGAAAGCTCGTTTTCTCTCCCTCTCTTTTAACACCATATCCCATTCTTATTTATTTTCTTTGCTTTTTCTTTCTTTCGTTGAATAAATAAATGAATGAAAAAAAAAAGAAAAAAAGAGAAAAAGAAAGAAAGAAAAATAAAAAAAAAGAAGAAAAAAAATAATATGTTGTTTCTCAACAACATTTTATCTTTGCATTCTTCAAAGAAGATAAATTCACAATTCACTGTGTTAGTATAATCGATTAAAACAATCGTTAAAATATTCAATGTTAACAAAAAGAAAAAAAGGAAAAAAAAAAGAAAAACAAAAAAAAATATAGAAATTCATTAACGCGGTATATTTATCTGTATAGATTTTATTTAATTTACGAGTAGTCGAAGCATATATGAAAGGCAATAATTGCAATCGTGAATCCATAATATTCTAAAGGAACGACGTTGCCGACTAACTAATGTGGAATACGAGACACGTTGGATTAACATAAGTATGTATATGCAAATCGTCTTCGAGTGCTATATGTAATACGTTTCCGTGTGCGTGAGTTTGTTCACGACAAAGACGAAGAAAGTCATATGACAGTGGTACGTGAACGTGCTTGTTTGTGCAAAATCGCGCAATGCTGGGATCAGTAAAGGAAATTACTTGCATACGTATTTAGTTATGTACGTATACAACTGTTATTTCTTGCATTTTCACGTAAACGAATCGTTATCGAATTCACGATAAACAAACCGCTCGATGATGATGATAAAATGCAAAATACGTTCCCTGTTTAAACTTATATACGAGGAATCCACCTACGATAATCATCCTCCGCCTATGGATTTCATTTGATGCGAGAATATCATTATAAAGTGAATCATGTGTGTGCGAGAATCGAGTTACGAGGTGTATCGAAAAATGCGAACGTCGATAAGATCGACATGTGAATAATAATATGGCTGTGGCGTATGAAAATGTTCTCGGAGAATTAATCAAAAACGATTCGAAACTATGACACTTCCTCAGGTATCATTGTCACGTTATTTTCAAAAATTAGTAGCCCTTCAAGCAAAATATTCTCTTACGTAAGTATTACAAACACTATTGTATTTCTCTCTCTCTCTCTCTCTCTCTCTCTCTCTCTCTTTCTTTCTCTCTCTCTCTCTCTCTCTTTCCCTCGCCCCCCTCTCTCTCTCTTTCCCTCCCTCCCTCCCTCCCTCTTTCTCTCTCTCTCTCTCTCTCTTTTCCTGTTTTTTCAAATATAAATGATGTAACTTTACGATATGTAATTTAGGATAAATTCAATGGCGACCTATGCATTAGCTTTAGCCATATTTACAACATGGTTGACCGACTGGAAAGTTATTTGCGCCCATATTCCCTTTTATCGTGGTAAATTCGAAAAAAAGAATTAAAGAAAATCTTCGATCGAATGAAGAATATGAAATAACAATCACGGATATACAAGTCTGTAAAATGAATAATAAAATTATAAAGAAGAAAAAAATAAAAATAAAATAAAATAAAATAAGAAAAAATAATTCGTTAATAATATTACGAAAACGTAAACATTGTGAAGTTAAGAAAAGAAAAAAAAAGAAAAAAAAAAAAATTCGCCCGAACAGGGACTCGAACCCTGGACCCTCAGATTAAAAGTCTGATGCTCTACCGACTGAGCTATCCGGGCGCTATGAAGAATACGTCCGAATTGTACTTTATAAATCAGACTTCTGTTCTTTTACGGCTGTCGCATTTATTAAAATACTTTGTAAATACAATAACAATTATTTCGTTTAATTAATATTAATTGCGAATTAAATATTTCGACTGATTTAACAAGAATCATTCTAATCAATTTGCAAGTTGTAATTTTACTTACGATTTGTTCCATTTAATTTGACTTTATTATCAACGACGATATTATTGAACACTTTACAAATTACAATTTGCACATGTGACGACACACGTTATCAAAACGGAATTTTGGCAGTAACTTTGAAAAGAGGATAATCTCGAATGATTAATAGTCGAAAACTTAACTATCATTATTCAAACTGGTTTCGATTTGCCGTGATTTAACAAAAATCATAATAAATAAGCCGCAATATCGAGTATTCATCCTTGACACGAAATATCACATATTTATGTAAAATGAAATACATAATTAAGTTGCTAACACAGAGAGGTCAGAGAACGGATTATCGGAGGCTAATTAAATATGTACCATTTCAGCGAACAATCGTTCTCATCTATGCTCTTCCTTTTTTTTTCTTTTCTTCTTTATTTCTTACTGTTTTACTTTATTATTATTTTTCTTTTTTTATCACTTTTTTTTTAAAACACATGCAGCAATGAACCTGAATAAACAAAAATTACAAAATGCCAAAGTCAATATTGATATAATAATATTAAATTATTTTGCATTCGATCATGTAATCGAATGAAAATAGTCAATCATTAATCGACGTATGAATTAATATGGGAATAAAAAGTTTTAATATGTAACATACATTTCATTTCATTTCGGATTAACGCTTACTAGGGGAAAATTATTAGGTGATAGGATAGGATTCGACTGACTTATTAGGGGATAGGATGAAAAACATGCCGTTGATGAGACATTAGTTTGATCAGAGTCGACGGACGACGTCCACCAACTTGAAGATAGGATGAAGATGAGGATAAATACAAGAGAAAGAGAGAGGAGAGAGAGAGAGAGAGAGAGAGAGAGAGAGAGAGAGAGA